CTGGTTTGTTAAACGCTCGAATACATACAAAAATTTGTAGTTAAATCTCGAAAACATATGTTGTAGAAAGTTGTTGTTGCGGCTATTTCTTACTATTATTAATCAAATTGTTTTTTGAACCATAATTTATCATCAAAAATAGATTAGTAGCGCGAAAAGTTACTTGCAATTTAGTATATAGACATAAAAACTCATATATTGATCATATTATTCTATGTTATTTCATTTTCTTAGTAATTATCTTCTACGTTTTTACCCATCATTTATTTTAAAGTAAGGAATGCAGATGCATCTATGAGGAAGTTAATAGCTATAATTAATGCTATAGAAACTGAATAATGTGATTTTACTCTGCTAGTAATTATACATAATGTGAACTTATGTAAAATTTGTATATATATGTTGTAGAGGAAATTAAAATCTAGGGCAATTTAAAATTGCTCTAGAGAACAATAAATACATCATTATTTATATTTCTTTACAAAAATTTTCCATTACTGTCAAAGAGATATAATTTTATGAAAAACAGACTTGATTTAGAGAATTCAATAAATAATACAATTTTGGAATCTGTTAGAGGTATTAGGTGTTTACACACGCATTTTTCTTTTTTAATGACATTTTGCGCAACATTTAACACCTGCCGCTTGCACCATCAATTTCCGAGATCTAGCATCTTGATTGTTTCTTTTCCAATATATTAAAGTCCATTGATGAAAGTTCTTCAAAGAACAAGTACAATTAGCAGTATTATAAACACACTTTTTAATTTGAAATTGATTTAATAATAAAATATACTTGAATTTATTTATTTTGATACGTATGCCATCTTTTATTTTTCCTTAGAATGTTATATACAATCTGTCATAAACCTTATTTTTATGATTAAATGAATATATATTCAATTAAAAATTGACTATCTGCTCAACATGCAGACAGATCTATTTAACCAAATAGGTCCACTATTAACTCTGGGAAAAAATAATGTGCCAGTATATAATAAACTTATTTGGGATTTGTTACTCAAAACTAACTATCGTAATAGAATGGACTACTATTTAATTATTTGAACTAATGCAAATATTTTCAAAAGTATGCAGAACATTACAACTGAACCTACAGAAAGCAGTCGATCGGGATTATTAAGCCTCTCTCTCTCTCACTTGTTGTTAAGCGTTCGAATAAATATCGGATTTTGTATGTTAAATATTAAGGAACGTAAATTTCTGAAGGCTGTTACTTCCATTATTTTTGTTATGATGAATGAAATAGTGGTTCGAAGCATAAATTATCAACAAAAATAGATCAAAAGAATGAAAAACTAGCTATCATCTAGGATATAATCATAAAAACACATATGATGATCATATCATTCTGTTTTCATCTTCCTTTTTTCGTCAGTTACCTCTTAGATTTTCACCCATCATTTTTTCAAGCGAACACTGTATATCTATATCGTCAGCACATGCGTCTGTACAGAGGTAATTAGCTACAATCAATGGTATACTAAATCGAATGACGTTATTTTATTATGCTATTAATTTCGCATAATATGCATTGCATGTTGAGTTTGTACACATATGCAAATAAATTGCCAATAAATACAAATGATGATAGTCTACGACATTTGACAGGTAGAAAAACAACTAATGGTGAGTCGAAAGTTTTCAGACAAAATGTTTATTCATTCTTGGCTCACTTGAAAATATTTCAGACAAGTCGAAACCTATGGATTGGAACCAGAATTTTGTGCTCTTTCTGATTATGGACTTTGAAATTTTGTATCTGTTTTTGTTCAAGAGCAATAAAAGAATCTTTGAAAGACCTTAAAAACTAATTTGGACGACGCACAAATGGTTTTTACTAACTGATTTACGCTCCTTTGTAAAGATGCTAAAAATTATCAGACACGTTAGTTTTGTAGAGCAGACACTTCTTTACAAAATGTGATATATTGAATTAAATTGTAGGTTTTATACAAGTGAAGTTATATGTATTTTGTCAAGAGCCCCTTTTTTATGCAAAACGCTTTTTGGTCAAAAAGTCGAGTTCTCAAAAATGAAGGTATAGGAACAATGAAAATTGAAGTGTCTTGCCTAATGACCAAAAATTCAAATAGTACATTTTGTAAGGCAGATTTTGCTCTACTAGCTGATAGAATAATAAAGGTTCTAACTTTTAGTTTCAAATCACAATAGTTAAAATGTAAGAAAGTGCGAGAAAATTTCCTGTCCAAACTAATTTTTCAAGCCTTTCAAAGATTCCCTCACTACTTTCGAACGAAAACTAACACAAAATTTCTAAGCCCATAATCAGAAAGAGCACAAAATTCTGGTTCTAATCCATAGATATTGACTCGTTTGAAATATTTTCAAGTGGACCAAAAATGAGTAAATATTTTGTCCGAAAACTTTCGACTTACCCGTTATATCAGTAAGTCAAGTAAATAATCATTTGATTTTCAACAAAATGTCTACCCTACAAAAATATGAATGAAAAAAAAATTGATCATTACATATCGTCTTCGCTAATATATTGCTTCCGCATAATGATATACATTTATAACAACTAATGCTCATATAATGTCTGTTACATATTTATCTTTATTAAAATAAAATATTTCTTCACTATTTTCAACTCTAGATAAAAATATATAATTAGATTTTTCAACACAGCTTAAGCGTGATTTTATAATTATTTCGTTGATAAACAACTTCAAATGGAATTATTATACACGATTTTAAGACTACGGTATATTGTTTTCTTGAAAATATCGATTTTGTTTACATACTATTTTTCGTAGGAATAAATTTTGTTTTTATTTGCACATAAATCCAACAACAATGGCGATTTTTATGTTCGCTGTATTCACAAGTATTGCCATGACGGTTGGAGTGATCACAGTTTGTTTTACTGCGTCTAAAACAAGTAAATATACATTCTTTATTTGTTACTTATAACAGACAATATTGATTTTATATTAATGAAGTTCAAATAGATTTTTCAAAGAATTAAAACAAAAAGTGAAATTATATGTTTTCAAACGATTTAAATGTTGTATCATCGTCAGTGAAAGTCGAAAGTAGTGATTCCATATTACGTCTTTTCAAAAAATACTTTAAATTAATAACAATATAACGGTTGTACTGTAAATTAAGAATATAGACCATGTTCACGTCAAATGATCACTCTTATCTAAAAAGTAAACAATTTAAAATTTGAGCTGCCTATGGCGTGTACGAAGCAAGATGTCTTTTTTTAGGTATTTACAGTGTATGTAAAATAGGCACAATTTAAAATTTAAACAATCTTCAAATATAACAGAAAATAGGCCGAAAATTCGTACTTTCATAAAATCTTTTAAATTCTTTTTAAAGTTTGAAACACACTTTTTTGTTACGGAACTCGACGATCCCTATTCCATTATCAAGAAATCAACTATTGTTAAAATTTAAAATTCTGTCCATTTTACATACACTGTAAAACCTAAAAGCAACGAACATCGGGTTTCATACACGTTATTGGCAGGTCTGATTTTAAATTGTTTAATTTCTTGATGAGAATTATCATTTGACCTGAATATGGTCAATCTTTTTAACTTACAGTACAATCTATTCGACTGTAAGAGACAAACTCTCCCGCTTATATTGAATTAAACTTTTTTTGTATTTTACTCTATCTTATTTAACCAACTATAATATTATATCAATCACTGAATATTGTTATCTCCATGTCAGATATAGGTTGTTTCCTGTAAAAATTTCTATAATTAGAGAAATATAATAAAAAAAACTATTGATATGTTTTTTTTTGTACAATACTTATGTAAAATATAATATAAACTTGAAGATAACAATTAAAATTCGATTAGCAAAAGCTGAAAAATATCTACTCTTGTTAAATGATGTGTCAAGAAAAGTCTTTATTATCGAAGTTAGTATTAGTTATAAGAAGAAATATGTATCACAGCAAAAGTTACAGGCATAACAATCATATTTTGAAGATGTTATTAATCCTAAGACTACCAAGTTTGTTTTTGAAGATATTATGATGACATGTATTTATATTCTGTAATTTTGATTGCTGAACCGGTATTTTCGTCCAAATTAGATTATTTTCCTCTTCAATCTTGTAAAGAAATTATTAGAATTATAGTTTTTCTTTATTGAGAACAGGTAATACAAAAAATTCGTTGAACAGAATGCTCATCACAAACAAGTTCTTAACATTGATAACATTTACTTCAAACTTTTCTATCTTTAGAACGATCACAAAGTGAACATCGTTTACGTTTTGATTGTGTAGAGTTTTCACTTAATTCTTTTGACGGTTGCTTTATCATAGGATAATCGATAACGGTGAATGCATTTTTGATATCCTTACGTAAAAATTTACAAGTTTTCGAACGATAATTTAGTTAGCAGATCAAGGTATGAAGTCATATTAAATACTCATAATTGGCATATAAAAAGGAAGATAAATTTCTTCTTTTTTTTTATAGTCAAATTTGGATTCTAAACGTTGAAATATGCTAAATATATTTAAAAGTAGTAAAAATACCGAGATATTTTCGTTAAATGTCTATTTCCTGTAGTAGAGTCTATTTGGACCCCGCTTGGTAGTCTTAGAGTCAATATAATTAATATACAACTTCTACAGTGACATGTTTGTTTTTACTAGCACATAGAAATTCCAAAAAAAGAATAAATTTTGCTCAAATAAATTAGCAATTATTTATACTTTGAGATATAATGTTGTTTCATAATTCAGATATGTAGACAAGTTGTTAAACAGAGAAAATGAATGAAAAGGAAATTTCTTTATACTATTTTTAAAAAGTCTATTCTAGAAAAAGATAGAATCATTTTATTTCTAATAAAAAGATGATTACATTTGAGTTACTGATTATTTATACAGTTTGGTACGAAATTTCATTTTTAGAAAAAATATTTATATATTTCGAGTTCTATATATGTGTTGTTGTAGATCAAACCTGTCAAATGACATTTAAACGAATTGGAAAAAGTTCAATTGTCTCTAGTTCACAACCACGATCCGTTGCTGTCGGAGATTTCAATAATGATAATCAAATCGATATTGTAGTTGCTAATAGTGGTACACATACTATTGGCATATTTATTTCAAATGGTAATGGGACATTCGTTGATCAACAGAATTATTCAACTGGTTCTCAATCTTTTCCTTGTTCGGTTGTTGTTAATGATTTTAATAATGATAATTGTCTTGATATTGCTGTCGCCAATTATAAAACAAACAATATAGGCATTTTTCTCGGATATGGTAATGGGACCTTTGTTAATCCAAAACTATTTTCAACTGGTTCTTCTCATCCATTATTCATTATCACTGGTGACTTTAACAATGATAATCAATCAGATATAGCAGTTACTAATTATGGCACTGACAGTATTGGCATCCTTCTTGGATATGGAGATGGTTCCTTCCAAATGCCAATAGTGTATTCTACTGGTTATGATTCCCAACCATATTCGCTAGCTGTTGGTGATTTTAATAGTGATGATCGTTTAGATATAGCTGTTGCCAATTATGGTATTGGTAACATAGGTATTTTGTTGGGTTACGGAAATGGAAGCTTCGCAAATCAACAAACTTATTTTACTGTCCTTGACTCAAATCCAATTTCTATTGCAGTTGGATATATTAATAATGACAATTACTTAGATATTGTTGTCGCTAATTATGGTATTGGCAATATAGGTATACTATTCGGATATGGGAATGGCACATTCTTATCACAAACTACATACTCGATAGGCTCTAATTTTCGTCCACAAAACATTGCTATTGGAAATTTCGATGGAGATAGTCAATTAGATGATGTCGTCGTGATTGATACATCAAATGATCAAATACATATTCTCTCGACATATACGAATGATACTTTTGCCATTGTAAGTATTTATGATGCGATACAAGGATCTAATCCAATTTCGGTTGCTGTTGTTGACTTTAATAAGGATAATCAATCAGATATTATTATGGCTAATTATGGTACTAATGATATACTTATACTTATTGGATGTAGCAATGAACCATCAGCAAGGCAGAAGAAGTACTATTTTGGCAATGGGGCTACACCGGGATCAGTTGTAATTAGTGATTTTAACAATGACAATCATCTCGATGTAGCCGTTACAGGTCTCACACTTGATGGTATAGTTTTGTTGACTGGCTCCGGAAGGGGAACTTTTGTGGAAAAAAAGGAATTTTCGACCGGAAATAATTCTAGACCACAGCAACTCTGTGTTACCGATTTGAATAACGATAATCGAATGGATATTGTCACCGCCAATTTGGGATCTGACAGTGTAGGTGTTCTTCTTGGCCAAGGGAATGGCACTTTCGCCACTGTGATGACGTACTCTACTGGTATTGGTTCAAGTCCATCGCGACTTGCGATTGGTGATGTTAATAAGGATAACCAAATGGATATTATATCCTCGAATTCGGGTACTGATAGTATAGGTGTTTTTCTTGGACATGGAAATGGGACCTTTGATGCCGTTGTTATATATTCTACTGGTATTGGTTCCATTCCGAATGCAGTCACTGTTGGCGATATCAATAATGATAATCATCTTGATATTGTGACCGCTAATTACTACTCTAACAGCATATCTATACTTTTTGGTAATAGCAAAGGAGCGTTCACAAACCTATTGTTTTATTCAATCGGCTACGATTCAGGTCCTGTGTCAATGGTTCTTATTGATTTCAATAGGGACAATAATTTAGATATTGCCATTGCTAGCTCAAAAGCCGGAAATGTAGATGTCTTCTTTGGATATGGTAACGGACTTTTCCAAACACAAACAACTTATTCTACTGGCTCTGGCTCTAAGCCATATTTCATCATTGTTGCTGATTTCAACTATGACAACCGATTGGATATTGCAGTCACTCTTCTCGGCAATGACGAAGTAGTTATTTTTTATGAACACGGCAATGGAAGTTTCCAACTTGCAAGAACATACTACACTGGATATGCTTCACGTCCAGTAGACCTCGCCGCTGGCGATATGAACAATGACACAAAATTAGAAATCGTTGTTAGCCTTTGGGGTACTGGATATGTAGCTATATTAACTGAATATTTCGCTGCCAAGTTTGCAAATCAAACAATCTATTCAACTGGTTCTACTCCACAACCATATTCATTAGCTATTGGTGATTTGAATAATGACAATCGATCTGACATCGTCGTTGCTAACTCAGGAACTGATGATTTAGCAATATTTTTTGGTTTAGGCAATGGTACCTTCAGATCACGCATATTGTATTCAACTGGAATTGATTCTCATCCACGATTTACTATGATTGGTGATTTGAACAAAGATAATCATCCGGATATAATCACTATCAATTCTAAGCATGATAGTATCAGCGTGATCATGGGTTATGGCAATGGCACTTTTGCACCCCAACTGAACTATTCTACTGGAAATAGTTCACGTCCATCTGCAGTTGTTATAGGCGATTTTAACAATGACAATCGATCCGATCTGCTCGTTACCAATGTGGATACTGGCGATATAGGAGTATTTATTCAATATGATTATAGATTATTTGAAAGACAAAGTGTATATGGAATCGTGGATACTCTGGAACCGTATGCAGTTGTTACTAGTGATTTTAATAATGATACTTATTTAGATATAGCTGTTGGTTTTTTCCAACGTGGTAATGTAGGTATTCTTCTAGGGCATGGAAATGGGAGTTTTGATACGATGATCACTTATCCGCAATGGAATCGTTCACTGCTTTGTGCACTAGCTGTAGATGATGTTAACAGTGACGGTAGATTAGATATTGCTATAGCTGATTGTGGTACTAACAATGTAATCATTCTCCACGGACATGGCAATGGTAGTTTTGTTACTAGTATGTCTATTTCAACTGGAAACGGTTCTCAGCCGTACACAATCGCTATTGCTGATTTTAATAAAGATGGTCATTTGGATATCGCTGTGGCTAATCCTGGTACTAATAATGTAGGTATACTTCTTGGATATGGTAATGAAAGTTTTGCTCCTATTGTGACTTACTCAACTGGATATCGTTCTTTTCCAATTGCACTTGCAGTCAGTGATTTCAATAAGGATGATCGATTAGATATTGCCGTTGTTAATCGTGATGCATCTAATGTTGGTATTTTTCTTGGATTTGGTAATGGAATTTTTGCAAATCAAAAGACGTATTCAACGGGTACTTATTCTATACCGCATTCGATCGTTGTTAGCGATTTAGATGGCGATATTGAACTCGATATTGCCATTGTTGATTATAACAAAAATAGCATAGGTGTTTTACTTGGTTATGGAAATGCAACTTTCCAAGCAGTCAGAGTACTTCCGACTGAGAAAGGTTCTCTTCCGGTATATATTACCGTTGGTGATTTCAACAATGATAACAAATTGGATATTGTTCTCGTCAATTTCGGAACTAACAATGTAATTATATATTTTGGATTTGGACATGGAATTTTTTATAAGAGCAAAGTATATTCAACAGGTATTGTATCTGGACCTTGGTCATTAGCTATTGGCAATTTTAATAACGACAATAGATCAGATTTCGTCGTCGCCAATCGTGCATCAAAAGATATAAGCATTTTTCTTCAATGTGGCAGTGAATCATATGGAGCTATAACAATAACTGCTGTTAACTCTGGATCACAGCCATACGCGGCTGCCGTTGATGATTTCAATAATGATGGTCTAGCAGATGTTGTTGTAGCTAATTTTGGTACTAACGAAATAGGTATTTTATTTGGGATAGGTGACGGTAACTTTCATGACATGATTCGATATCCAACTGGAGTGGGTTCTACTCCATGTTTTGTTGCAGTCAGTGATTTTAATAATGACAATCATTCGGATATTGTTGTTGCCAACTGTGAAGCTGATAATTTAATTATTTTTCTTGGTTTTGGTAACGGAACTTTTGCTACTGGAGAGACATATTTAACTGGTGATCGTTCTCGACCATATTCAGTCGCCATTGCTGATCTTGATAATGACAATATAATGGATATTGTTGTTGCAAATTCTGGTACTAATGATATTCTCTTACTCTATGGATATGGGAATGGGACCTTTGGAAAAAAAGAATCATATCCATTAGGTTATGACTATCTTCCTTCCTCGGTTGCTATTACTGATTTGAATCAAGATGGATGGAGGGACATTGTTATAGTATGTATTGGCACGGATAATGTAGAAGTTCTAATGAAAATGTGCTAGAACAAATGTTACTACTTGAGATTTTTTATCTACTCCTGATTGTCTTTTTAAATGTTTTATTATTGTCAATATTTCTTTTTTAATTATATTTTTTTCTAATCAAATATCTGTTCGAAGACTGTAAATAAAAATATTTCTTTCAATATCTTCACGCTTTGCAAAACGTTCAAAAATCAAAACGATACATTATCCACAGTTTTTCGTATACTCTCACATAGGTAGGTACCAGAGATGAGCACAGGACAAGATTTTTCGTCCTATTCTGCCCTGTCATGATAGCCAGCTCTACCCTAGCGGGTGGTAGGACAGGACCAAAATCAAAATCGCGTCCTGTCATATTTTGTCCTGTTGACAATTTCTGTCTTGGCGGGCGGCATGACAGGATAAAAATCAAAATCGCGTCCTGTTCTGCTGACGTTTTGTGTCCCGATGGGTGATAGGACAATACATGAAAACTTTGTCCTAGTTTTTTTTTTGCTAATTCATTCCTCTTTTTCGCACGACAATGAGCCGGTGATGAGAGTCGTTAATCTTACTATCGCGAATCAGGGATGTGCGGATGAGGGGATCGGGGGTCAGGATCCTCCCATTTTTGAAAAGTAGTGGATTGCTACAGTAAAACTGTACTAGAGCGTTTATTATAAAATCTCGATGTAAGAAATTTGTTCTGAGAGGGAGTACAGGAATCTATACTTAGGATCTCCCACTTGTTTTCTTTGGGCACATTCCTATCATTGATCAAATCAAATATTACTATTATTCACGTTAGACCTAATTTATCGTTTACTATCCTCAAATACAAGAAATACACTCTAGATCATCACCTATTTTACAACTACAGAATATAACAAAATCTTAATTTTACATCTTGATAGCACATTCATGACCAGAACAAAAATACAGAAAAAATGAAGATGATTCATTGTGACATCATTATCTTATCTTATACTAGATACTACCCATGAGAAATAACAACAGCACAGACTTTTATCATAGAAAAGCAACTATTTTCCTGAATAAATGTACTATAACAATTGAAACAACTAATATATCCTGAGATTCTTTGAAATACACCATGCTAAGCTAATTTTTCTGGATGGGTTTGCGTGTGGGTGTGGGTATACTTGTTGAATTAACTCATACTCCCACCCACACCTACACCCACATCCACATCCACACCCTTAATAGTCTAGAAATTGTTTAAAATTTAGAAGCTTTGTTTTTAAATGCGTTCAACACTATTTCTAGCTGCTAACGAGCTTTCAGAAAGGAAACTATCGCCTACTTTTCTTGGTTACTAAGAAGATTTACCCATTAAATATAGACTTCACTCCCCCTCTTCCAGCTCCTTCCATCATACTAGAAAAGCTATACTCGTTTTTCTATGACTCTTTAACCTGATTTGACAGAGAAATCACAAAATTTTGACTGAAATCTCACATTCATTATCTTTCACAAAAAAATACCACAAATATTAAAAGTTGAGTTTTAGAAAATTTATTGTGATTGAAATGAAATGATTTCTGAGTCAAAATCTGCATACGATAAATTTTCTCATCTGCATTTTATGTCCTAAACTGATTTGCTTCATAAAACACCAACCACTGGAGCATTATTTCGAACTCAGCCGAAATATTTGCTACTTTCCAAGAAACAAATTTTTTGTTTTCTAATGGATCGCAATAAGTGTTAAACACTACAGTAAATTATCTACAGCAGCTTAAAGTCTTTCTGTACACTGGTGTCGCCGCATTGCATTCATTTTAAAATTCACTCTTCAAGGCTTCCCTAATTTTGTTCACTAATTGCTTTCAAATATATAAGGCATGTACAAATGTTTAGCCTGTAGACAGATTTATCTGAATGTTTTGAATATGTTTCAATGATGCGAATACAATGTGTTCGTGATTAAATCTTTAGTTTAGTATACCATCATGTACACAGTATTGTACAATGTTAAGATTTGTGTATTGTTCAAAATAGTATGGAATAGTTAGTAAAAACTTCACTCCCACAAAATCTATCAAGGATATTCAATTTTTATAGGACTTTATTATGTAAAACATACTAATAAATTTATATAACACGCGTTATTATAAAAAAAGAAGATGAAAAATTCAATGATAATATGGTCCCGTTTCATAATACCCACAATCGATTTACTTCTTTACTAATTTTGTCTTCATCATTCATTTTCATCCCAATAATACTGCATAAAAAATACCATACCTTCATAAATCTTAGATAAAATCCTATTATAAACACTTATAGAAAAAATTCTCATTACCTCGATGTCTTAGAACCCAGTAAGCTTTATTAAGAGTAAATTTCTATATATTCTTTCCTTAAACTCGAAATTCATGATGAATACATAAGCCTACATGAACTTCTCCGCTAAGCTAATTAACTTTTTTTGTTTTAATAAACTGTTGATTTGCATTCATAATAAACTAATAATTATCTACCAGTGGAGGGTGCCGGTGTGCGTGTGGGTCATACCGCAATCCACATCTGTACCCACATTCACCCCCCCCCCCACACACACCCACTACTACTCACGCCCACCCACTTCCACCCACCACTACCCACACCCGCCCACACCCACCACCACCCACACCCACCACCACCCACACCCACACACTCACACCCACTCACACCTACACCCACACCCTCCACATACCCACATCCTCTGCTTCAATTCACTCTACTGGAATGGAAATAATATTATTACTTCAGATTTTTCTTACTTAATATTTTGTGATAGCCAAGCATGTGACAAGAAACAAAAAAAAATTATATTCATGTTTCTATTCATGTTTGTAACGCAATGTATACCATGAAGAAAAACAAAACTTTCTTTTCTGCCATGGCTACAACCTGTTTATCCTTTATCTTTCGGGTGAGAGTGTGTACATGGGTATTCATATGGAAAATCTGTTGTTTCATACCCACAACTACAACAAGTTGAGGGTGTAGCTAACTGAGCTAGCATCAGTAAATTCTAACTGAATAGTTACCTACTAAAGTAACTGTTTAGTCACGATAATTACCACTCCTACTTGCAATATAAAAATGTTTCGATTAGTCCGAAAAATGGAAAAAACACATAATATGATTCAGATCAATTTCGAGTTTTTATTTGTCAAAGAAAAGTCATAGATATACGATGTTTCACTAGTAAGCATTGCGTAAATTTTTGACAGAAAATTGTTTGTTTAATGTCTAAAGAAACTTTCAATCGATTTATGTAATTCTTCCATGTAAAGTTTCGAAGGTAGAATAAACACAAGAAAGGTGAATATTTGTGGAACAAATGAAATAAAGTAACCAATTACATAAAGCCAAGGATTCCGAATTGATTTCATACATCCAGATAGAAACGAAAGTATCAAACGAGGTACAGCCAATAATAGGAGAAAACACTGTGAAATTAGTAGATGTTTATGTAGTTGTAATTGTTTAAATAAAAGTTGCTTATAAGATTTATTTTTCTGAGTCTTTGAACGAATACGAGCACCAAGAACAATAATGATCAATGCCGAAATAAAATTAATAGCGAACGGAATAGTGAGATGAACAGTATTCACAATTCTATCGAATCTTTGTAGAGATGATGAATATCTTGCAAGACACCATGTACGTTCTTCATCATCATCGATCAGACGACGATGAATCGGATCATGAATATGTGTACAACCAGTAAATAGGACCACTATCAAAACAATCCATTTAACAATATGTTTGCTCTTTTCTTTATTGAAATTGACTCCTTTTGAGATATTGATCGTGCGTTCAATACTAACACAAGCACTGAGCCAATCACCAATAGATAGAACAAGTCGAAGAAAAAAGTCAACAGATATGCATTGCATGTAGAGAAACGAACGATTTGTAAGTGAACCGATCTGTGATGCAAGAAGAAATGCAACCTTGATTGCTAGTACACACATTGTGATCATTGATATAATCGAAATTAAAAATAAATAATTACCACAGCCGACATCACGTGTCAGTTTCATTTTAAATGTCAACAATGAGAAAAAACTGTTAATAAAACCCAACACAAACAGAATTACAGTAAATAGAACAGTTACTTTCACCACCGTCGGTTGATTATGGATCACAGTATTCAATCGAATTTGATTGCCCAAAATAACATCTAACGAGAGAATCGATCCATGAGTATTAAATTGACATTTCGATCCATAGTAACATTCTGGACAGACACAAATCAATGATGTCGGACACTTTTGATTGTCTTCAATGCATTGACCTCCATTTTCACATAAGTTGTATCCACGACAACTGTAATTTTGATACGGATCAAATTTGAAACAATTGGCTTGATTACTGAGATCACACAAACAAAAACGATATTTATCGTAGAAGCAAACCAATTTCGATCGTTCTCGACATGGAACATGATAGTATTTGACAAGTCTTAATAAGGAAAAGTTACGAAAAGTTTCATTGAATAGTTCACGAATGAATGAACATCTATTAGAAGGTATTATTTTTGTCGAAATATTCACTGAAATGTTCTGTTCTCGAAGAGCAATAAGATAATACTCATTGAATATTTGTGCAAAAGCAATATTGAAAGGAAGCGAACTATAGACCGTGACTTCATCTTGATTGAATGGAATTCTTTTCATCGTACTCATCTGAATCGCTTTTGAGACAGGCTGAGTTGTAATAAAATAAACAGTGATTAGTTGTGGAATAGTCAATTTATTATCAAACGATATATCGATTCGAATGTTTCGAATTTCACAGTAACCTCCTGAAAACACTTCAGAACAACTACATACTGCTTGTTTTTGCTGTAAACGTGCATGGCGTTCATCGTTAGACACACATCGACCATCGTTATCGCAGGATTCGTAATGACATGAGGATTGTGAAAGATAACATCGAGGACCAAATCTATTGATAGGACAAACACAAGTAGATCTATCGACACATAATGAATCGAATGCACAATTACATGTAAACGGAAT